GCTCAGAGCCCGATGCGGGGCTCGAACTCACGGACCGCGAGATCGCGACCTGGCTGAAGTCGGACGCTTAACCGACTGCGCCACCCAGGCGCCCCCTCTTTGTATTTTTCTGTATTGCCCAAATTATTTACAATGAGCATATAACAATAACATAATAAAAAAAAGTCTTTTCAGATTTTTAGCATTTGTCATTTTACTCCTTTTATCTTGAAATTACTATCTTTTCAGGACTCATGACACTCCAAGGCTTTCACCAGTTTTTACTTTCTGGGCTTTAATGACCAGCTCATTAAAAAGGCAAAAAGAGGAATACACAGCATCATGGAACTACCATAAGGTCCCAGAGACTTCAAATTAAGTTTCATGTTTAAAACAAAAGTCCTGCTCCCCAAACATGTGTTTAGGATCATCTGTGCACATATTATCTCCATGATCTGACTTATGAATGGAGCTCAAACCCACATACATAAATTCATAGTCTTAAACTGTGGGACCAAAGAGTGGGCCACCAGGAATAAAAAAAAAAAAAAAAAAAAAAAAAAAATTATGGAGATTAACCTATTAAAATTGTGAAAGCCAAGGGAAAAAATGGCAAAGTTACCAAGGAATCCACAGGTAAAAAGGAAGAAGAGGAAGAGGCAGGGGAGATGTAAGAGCTCAGTATCTACCTCTAAGTTTCCAGGGGAAAAGGAAGTGAGTTTCTAAGCCATTAGAAATGCTTTATGTGTGGGGCACCTGGGTGGCTCAGTTGGTTGAGCGTCAGACTTTGGCTCAGGTCATGTTCTCGAGGTTTGTGAGTTTGGGCCCCACATCTGGCTCTGTGCTGACAGCTCAGAGCCTGGAGCTTGCTTCCGATTCTATGCCTCCCTCTCTCTCTCTGCCCCTCCCCCACACATACTCTGTCTCTCTCTGCCTCTCAAAAATAAAGAAAATTTAAAAAAAAATTTTTAAATAAAAAAAAGAAATGCTTTGTGTGTACTTCCATTTTTTAAAGAAATCACAGATACTTAGAATTAAAATAAAACTCTAGTTGTACTTTTACCTATAAATAATTTTATAAAAGATAAAAAAACCTACTCACCTGCCTGGCGTACTGGGAATTCCACATGGTCAGAGACTATAATCCGAAGTAAACTGGGGGCAAAATTGATAATCTTGTAGGACTGAAATTACAAAGAAATATTTATAAAATAGGGCAATACAAACAAGTAACTGTTAACACTATAACTGAATACATTACTATGCAAATAAAAGGAAAACTTTTAAAGTGAGAGAAATTCTCCAAGGCAAAATTAAGATTACCAAAATACTTCAAATCAAAATTGTAACAAATTGATGAATAAAGGAGTAAGAACATTTTTACAGTTTTTTTAACATACATTGTCAAAAATGCTCTCTAGAAACTATGTAGCAATTTACACTCCCTAAAGTAGAATACCCCCATCTATCCAATACAAGGATTAGCATTATCATTCTTTCAAAACTTTAAAACCTTACTCTCATATCATTTCTACTAGGTTGAAATTTTATCAACAAAAAGGTTGGCTATTTGTTTTCTTCTACAAATTGAGTATTCCCTTTATCCTTTTTTAAATAAAATATTTGTTTTATTCTTTAAAAATCCTAAGAGCTATTTGTGAATTTAAAATCTTAACCTTTTATTGCACCTATACATTCCAAGTGTTTCTTCCCAGCTTATTTGTGCTTCAATTTTGCTTGTATTATTTTTGACAAACAGAAACGTGGAAAACATGGGCTACAGAAAACAGGAGATCCAACGCAGGAAAACAGACAAGATAATGTTAATTACGGAGAGGAGAAGGTTATGGAGATTATGGAAGTTATGGAGAGGAACCAGTCCAGATTGGAATAATGTGCCTCACAAGACAGTGTTGAGAGGTATCATCACCATCTGCCCTCTGCTGGTGGAGCATCTTTTAAACTTGACACCCAGGGGCACCTGGGTGGCTCAATTGGTTAAGCATCTGACTTGGGCTCAGGTCATGATCTCATGGTTCATGAGTTCAAGCTCCACATCAGGCTCTGAGCTGTCAGCACAGCACAGGAGCCTGCTTGGATTCTCATCCTCTCTCTCTCTCTCTCTCTCTCTCTCTCTCTCTCTCTCTGCCCCTCTCCTGCTCACACTCTCTCTCAAAAACAAATAAACATTAAAAAAAAGTTTTTTAATAAAAAAAATAAAATAGACTTGATGCCCAAGTGAGCCTATACTGAATGCCTGCTGCCTAGGTCCTGCTGCCTAGGTCACTTCCCACACACATGTTCTACTTTGAACTACTCCTGATTTGGCCATGGTGACTTTAGAAGTTAAAAAATACAGGGGCACCTGGGTAGCTCAGTTGGTTAAGCGTCCAACTTCATCTCAGGTCACGACCTCACAGTTCATGAATGTGAGCCCCACATAGGGCTCTGTGCTGACAACTCAGAGCCTGGAGACTGCTTCAGATTCTGTGTCTCCCTCTCTCCCTGCCCCTCCCCTGCTTGCTCTCTCTCTGAAAAATAAATAAGCATTAAAAAAAATTTTTTTAAAAAGTTAAAAAGCACAGAGCAGCCCATTCCTTCTG